GCGGCCAATACTCCGTGTGATAGTTCGGAGAAGTTCTATACATACTGTTTTATGAATCGGAATGCTGATAGCGTGATTTAGGCTTCGGTGTGTTTTTTCGCTTGTGGCGCGACGACAGCGCCGCTACAAAATGATTAAAAATTACATTGTATTAAATAAAAACTTTTTACTAATGAATTGTTTTATAAGTTTCGAAAAATCTTTTTCTTTCCATCAAAATCCTGTTACAATTACATTAGGATTGAATTACCCCAGTTGTTATTATTGAAAATAAAAAAACTGTGTTATTTTTTAATTTCAAACAGTGGGAATCAAAATACAGATGCTTTGTCACCCCTGAACCTAGACTAATATGAAATGCCTCGTTTACAGTAAAAAATCTGGTTATCTACAGTTGTCATTAATTTTCGATTGAGAATCAAGTCCGTCTGGCGATAAGTGACTACTACAGTCCATGAAAACCTACAGGTAAATTCAATGCCACAGATGCGCTGACCGAAGCAATCCGTCTTAGTTCTCACGTGTTACGACGCATATGCATTTAGATTCGTAATTGGAAATAGATGTAGATGTCCATGAGCCACACTATCCATTTACCATGAGGTGGACTGTGAGCTCATTTGTCACGCTCATCTTATAAAAATAGTCTTATTTTGACTTGATAGGTGACTTACGGATTGCATCACAGTCGCATAGTTTGTGATAATCCTCATGCGAGAAGTGCCTAGTGTTTTTTGATATATTATTCATGTATATTAGGGAAATAAAAACTGATAAAGTAGCAGTGGGCAATAAAATGAGGCCACCTATCAAACCATGACTGTTTCGAAATAAAAAAAAAATTAATATTTTTTTATTGATTCCGTCTTGGTTATTAAATTATTAATACATTTTTAAATTAACCAACTTCATTCTTAGCGACATAGAAGAAGAATTAAAAATGAAGAAAATTTTACACTGACTTCACTGATAAAAAAAATAAAAATGGTTTCGCTGATGTCAATCTTTCTTGAGTAAGCGTATTACCTCCTCTGCCTTTGATAACACATACCATCCTTTTGTTCATTGATTGTATTAACTTTTTAATAGCTTGAGGTAAGTTTTTCCATAAAGCCGCTTTCAGCTGTTGCATTTTCTCTGGAGCTGGATCTCGCTCTGTAACTTGCTTTATTAGCTCGCTCAATAAATGTTCTATATGATTAAGGTCCGGACGTCGTGCTGGCCTGTCCAGAACCTGCATCCCTACTTCTCGCATATCGCATATCGCAATATAGGGGCGCTCCTTATCGCGCATTAATTTAAATTCAAGAATGTTAGTTATGTACGAATCAGCAGTCACAGTTCCTCTATCTACGATAACTAGCTCTGTACGGGCTTCTAAGCTTATACTTCCCCAAAATAAAACTGAATCACCTCCAAAGCTTACCTTTTCAGATATGGCACATTTTACATATCGTTCTTCTGGTCTACGATATACTATTTTGCGATCATCAGTACCATAAAGACACGTACGAGACTCATCAGAAAAGAGTACCTGCCACCATTGTGCCACATTCTAGTCACGGTGTTCACGAGCAAAATTTAACCTTGATAAATTTTGGACCCGTTGCGGGTCTGTATGGTTTTATATCACGTTTTTTAAGGCGTCTTCTTATTTTCTTATCAATTACAACGAATTCTCGGACATCTCTGAGCAGGTGCTGCAATTCTAGTCCAGAACGAGGACGATTTCTGAGGCTTGCTGACACTACAAATCGATAATCCTGTTCAGATGTTCTTCGACCTCATCCAGACCTTCTGATGTAACACCCGGTCTTCAGATACCTTTTGTAGGCATATTGAACCGTTTTTCGACTTACTTCACATTGTCGAGTAACATTTCCCTGGATCATTTCAGTTTGTAACAACGATACGATTTGAAAAAATAATCCGCGTAGATTCATGTGAGGCACAGATCTTAAAACAATAAATGAATGATTGATGATGCTTTAAATAGCCTCCTAGCGCCAATATATAAAACATAACAAGTACGAATTGTGTGTACCTACTGATTAATGACATTTGACACACTTATACTTGTTAATTTCATCAAAATATCTTCTACTAAGATTGCAAATAAACGTTCAAAAACGTATTATTTATTTTATTTTTAAACATACCGTAATTAATAAATAATTCATCAAAATAGGAGTTTTCTTTTATTACATTTGAATGGTTAAGAGCTTATAACACACATTTCATCGAATAACACGGCAGCACGTTTTCGATTTGGTTGCGAAGCTTCGAGTACTACAGGCAATTTCTATAAGTGCTGCACCTTGAAGCAGATCTACATATTTTAGTTCTGTGGTCTGAAAATCTCATTAAGATGGATACTTGTCTTCACAGATTTGCTAAATTTAGTTTTAATTTTCTTTCACCATTTATTCTTATATCTACAATCAATGTGAGGTAATAAAGCTTAATGAACGGGATTTAATTTACCTTTTAAATTTCCTTGCCTGATTGTAAAGAAATTATTAAGTAAGTTTAAAAGTAGGCGTTCCAGTGTCTAAATTCTGATATGTGATAACTGACCTACATGACGTACCACTGCCCTTAGAAACCATAGCCACATTTACTTAGATATAAAAGAAGGTATACTGATATATAATTTGAAAGAATGTAAAGAAATTAGTAAGAAAACGTTTTATAAATAGATTTTTAAATCATTACGAGTACGATAACAGAAGCGTCTTACAAGTTATATTGCTAGTGTAATGGAAATAAAACTATATGAATTCTGTACTGTAAACGGAAACCAAAATACTTTTAATGAGGCTTTAAAAAAGGTTTTTATTTTATTGAGATGACATTTATAATTTTAATTGTTGTTTATAATTTTAATGTGTGTTTAAATGTTGGTTCTTAAGTCTTGTCTTACCAGTTGCGATGGAGTTATATTTATCCAGTTAAATTTATAATATATTTATATAAACAGTAGGTACTTTATTTATACAATGGTAATTTTTTTCGAGTCGTATACGTTTTGTTTTGTTTTGCGTAGATATTTCTAATATAAAAGAGGCTTTTATGGATAGCAAAATACTTGGAAAAACCATCTCCAACATGACCCTTAAAAACACTTGAGTTTCTCGTTTATCAACTTAGGTGAAATTTATAAAGCCATACTCATTTACTGCAGAGTTGTTTTAGGTTTTAAAATAGTTCACGCTATTATGATGAAGGATATTCGGTATAAACTTTATAAATATTTCTTTAGGCTTATGACTTTATAGGAGATAGTTGATCATATTTACATTTATAATTCCTTATAAAAAATTTGTACATACTATTTTGTATTATGTAAGTTTTTGTAATATTTTTTGTAGCTGTCTTTTTCCTTCACAAAATATTTATTTTTTTTGTTTCTGCGAACAATTTCAATAAGATAAGAAATTAAAAAGAATCATAAGATCTGAACCCGATAGATATGCTATGGTAGTTATCAATAAATTTTATATTCACGAAGTAAAAATAAAAAGTCCGGAATACTTACCCATGCCCGCGACTTTGTCCGTGTGGAATAAGTACTTTTGTTATGAAATTAGAAGATAACTAAAAGTTATGATGATTTAAAAATAAGTTTTAGTTAGTTTTGACTCTCGCGAAGATCTAGAAAGATCGATCAAAATATACAGTTAGTCAAGTTTTCTAATAAACTAATGACAAATCAAATAGAAATAGCTCACAAACGAACTTAAATAAGGACCCACAGAAGAACCAAGAAACGAATTTGGCGAACTATACGTTTGTTTTATATTATAACTCACCAAAAATAACCACAGTAATGTTATCCACAATTTACAACATTGGTTCCTATATAATAGGTAAGAGATTGAGAAGCAAGCTCCTTCACCAATTTTTGGTTCTTACTATGATATGAGACATCATATTGCCATTAATATTAAAAATACTAGATGTGCCCGCGACTTCGTTCGCGTTGAATCAGTACTTTCGCTGTTCTAAGTTTCTAAGTGATAATGATTTAATTGTAAATTAAACTGTCGCGAAGACTTAGAAAGACACCAATCTGAATATAAACATTCAGTTAGTCGGTCAATCAGACAAACAAACAAACGGACCCACAAACGAACTAAAAAACGAATAGGGCAGACTCTCGTTTGTGTATTATATTGTAAATAAACAACAAAATAGTCCCAATAACGTATTCCCCAATTTGATCCCAAATTCCTCTAGCCAATACTTGGTTTCTCAGAAATTCTCAGTAGCAGCCCGGAGTCAAGGGTTTAGCAGTGTTTCATCCCTATGACTCAGAAAGCACGTAAACCCGTTTTATGTGTATCTGATCTCACTATATTTTTGTCGGATTACTGACTCGGACACAGCTATAACTAGACAATTTTTTATATTTTGTATATAATGATCAATAGGGGCAGCTTTTTATAAAGTTCTATAATAAGTATTATTCATAACTATCATAATTTCGTTTTACGGATTTGTCCATCATCATGTAAATGAAAACCAATTTTTTCGGAAACTATATATTCTGGCTTTAGCACTTTAAGGAGAGATATTAACCCTAGAACCCTACACGGGGTGCTGGGGCACCACATAAAATTTTTTTTGTTTTATTTTTGTTGGTGTGTATTCCACTGATTTCACGTTCCGCGTATTTTAGTCTATGGTCACGGTGTACAGACCTGTCTGTGTCGTGGCAACAGCTGGGTAGTGTGAACGCGTGTAATAGTGAGGTGGGGTACTGAAGGACCGCAGTGAAGGAACAATGTAAGTGAAGTAATTTATTGCAACTATTAGTTTAAGTGATATTTTGCTAACTTTGGTGAACGTGGCAGCTGTCATTTGCATATTTACTACTAACATTGTAACATAGCCTTAAATTAATGAGATATTTACAAACTTTAAGGTTTATTTCAACAAAATATTACATTTATTTTTGTTTTATTGTCTGCAGATGGCTGTAAACAGAGGACTGAATGATGATCAAATACTTTTGTGTGAAAACCCTGAATCAAGATAAGGAAGAAGCTGTTTTATCGGGGTCAGTTATAGAACAAGCTGAGGATGAACCGGGTGTTTTTATAGAAGATTTTCACGCAGTAGGTGACGTAGGGAACTCTAGTAGCGATGATAGTATAACCACTCAATCTTTGACATATTTCCCACCTAGATCAACTAAGAAGAAAGTTGTGATGATTTTGTACACACTTCATGATACTTCGGACAAAAACAATGAAGTGGAGCTTTCAAAAATTATTGATTATCATAATAAAACAAATGGAGGTGTCAACGTTTTTGATGCAATGTCCAAAAAATACTCCGTCTTAAGAAAAACTAAACTCTGTCACATGTGCATTTTTATGGGTAATTAAATGGCACGGGCATTTACTCTTGGGTTCTATACACATGTTCAAAAGCTTTTGGTAAGCCAGCGATAAATATTCGACGCAAATATTTGAAGGAATTGGAACTCAATCTCATACAATAGTTTCTGGAGCAACGCCTACAAAGCCCTAATTGGAGATGGGATATAAAACAAAGTATTGCAGCAATCCTGAAAAAAAAACCATTCTAAGCGATTCTACTGTACCTGAACGTTGCTACCAGGGACGATGTGGTTTCTCCCCAAGAAATAGGGATCGCAAAAATAAAACTATGTGCGTCAAGTGTAAAATTCCGATTTGCTTGGAGCATCACTTAGAAGTTTGCCTAAAGTGCTCAAATTGATATTTTAATTGTAAATGTAAGGTTCATTTCTAATCTCATTACTATAAGGAATAAAAATTAAGGAACGTTGATTTAATTTTGTTTTAATTTCTTTTAAATATAGACAATTTATTTTGGGGTGCTGGGGAACCCCTATGTAGGGATAAGAGTAACGCCAGTAAGTGTAGGGTTTTAGGGTTAAGAAAATGAAAAAAAAAAAACTGATTGCATTATTTTAGTACTAAAGTATTTGTAATCATTTTAAAGTTACAATAATCATTTAATAATTTTTCCTTATACCAATATGAAATCACCCCGTAAAAAAACATTCTTAAAACTTACTCACTTATCATCAGGTGGACTGTGTGCTCATTTGTCACCTTTATTCGAAATAAAGAAGTATTTCATTATTTTAATTCAAAAATAGGCGTACTAATTTTTTCAGCTTCTATATATAGCGGATTAAGTTGTAAAGGTAAATTTTATTATTTTAAAACATTAAATTCTTTTAATTATAATATCCTTGTTTTATAATCACCAAATAGCTATTCACTTATTTCATTTACAATGTACTATCAAGAAAAAGTAGAAAAAGTTTCGTACAAACTGTAGCGCACTATTTCACCCTCATAAGGGTCGAATTTCCCTCTACGTCAAGCGGTTTGGGCGTTGATAGCTGTGTCAGTTACTCAGCACTGGACACGATGAACCCTTTCCTGTTTCAAGAAAATCCTCACAGAGGTACCCAGCCTTGTGTCATTTATTGGCTGTTACGTTACTTTTAAAATAGAACTCTGATGTAAAGTGTTATAAGTAAAATTTACGTGTTATAAAAGATGAAGACAGCGAAAAACGACTTCTTATTTGAAATGGATCGTCGTCGATAAAGCGTAGCCGATCGGTTGGGGCGGCTATATGTGGATCGACGGCTTTCTCAAAAGTTCATGGTTAAATCATCGAGTACAAATAATAATTTTTTAATTTGTTTTTTTTTTCCTTTTAAGGTTCGTATAGTTTTGTGATAAACTATATGCTCTTATTTAAGTACAAAATAAAGTAACTAGTAGTAAATTTCGTTTCGTAATTTGTAGTTTTACTTTTTAGTTAATTTGTAGATTAAGATTTAGTTAAATATTAAGTACTTACTTATTTCAGAGTCAAGACGATTGTAGATTATGCTTAAAAGTATCTAGTTGTTTGGTTTGTTGTGTCCTTATTGTAGTCTTTTGTTTTGCTTATAAATATCTTATATATTTACACATTAGTTTCTTGTATTTCCAGGACCCTGATCCCCCATGGCTCGAGTAGACCAAATAAATAAATAAATAAGAAACAGCGTTTAACAGTCAATAGAAACGTTCTTTTATTTTTACCAGTTCATTTACCGAATAAAATTGTTTTTCCAAAAGCCACTTTAATAAATTACGTCTAAATCGATTATAATCCAGTTACCTCATTTACCATGACACTCAATATTGCCTTCCAACAGATAGGTCATAAGATGAACATGTATAAAACAAAGATCATATCTTGGACGTTCATGTCATACCTACGCCGGTGGTTGTTGGGAGCACTAAGCTTGAAATTGTTGACGAGTACGTTTACCTGGGTTATTCAACTTGGCTGGTCAACGTTCGGGAAATTACGACACATCTTCTTTTCTGCTACACCTCAAAACCTGAAAACTAGACTGTACAACCAGTTCGTGTTATCTATGATGTCTTATGAAACAGAGAGGTAGTTCTACAGTGCCGGCCATATGAGGACGCTCAAGGTCGCTTAGCGAGCTACGGAGAGGGCTATACTCGGGGTTTCTCTGCGTGATAAATTTATAAATGAGGATATTGCAGTAGAACCAGAGTGACCGACATAGCACAACAGATTAGTAGGCTGAAGTGGAAAGGGTCAAAACAAAGGTCAAAGGGGAAAAGCCGAAAAGCGATGGGAAAAAAAGATTCTCGAGTGGCAGCCTCGTACCGATAGACGAAGTGTAGGAGACCCCCCTCTAAATGAAGTGACGACCTGGTAAGACATACAGGAAGTCAATGGATGCAGGTGGCTCAGGACAGTCTTTATGGTATTCCTTGTGGGAGACCCTGTATTCAGCAGTGGACTTGTGAAGGGATGTAATGATGATGATGATGATGAATGTATCGCTTAACTCTTTAGAACGTCCTTCTACTGAGGATAATATATTAATTTTTTTGTAAGTAAACTTGCGTCTCATAACATAATGGTAAATAAGCCAAACGATTATACGATTTTAAACATGTATGGTTTCGAAATTTTCAGAAGCCTAGATCTCTTCCGGCACTGATCTTTAAGTGTTCGTCAAGTATCTTTTTTCGCGGGTAGGAGTTAAGTTAGACATATTTTAATACACTGAAATTTTTAATTTGTATAATATTATATCTAGGGACTTTTGAATATAAATTTAATGTTCCTGTGATATATAAACTCCTGCCAGTCAAGTCTGAAATATATTTAGAATAACCTGAACTCTTTAGCACATTCACTTCACTACCACATTGTTATAACCTTAAAAACAAATGGAGTCAATTAAGAAATCTGTTGCGGACCTCACTGAACATTTCAAATTAAGGATGGCCGAGTTCCAAAAAGATCTCAAGAGTTCAATTCCAGCAACAAGCCCCACTTCAAATATTAATCACCAATTTCATTCATTCCGGTGCTTTGTTTTAACTGCTTTAGAAAATTTGCAATTGCAAGTTGAACTATTAGCTCAACAAAATGATAACATGGAGATGAGATCTCGAAGAAAAATTCTGCTTGTTCATGGTAAAGCCGAAGACAAGAAAGAGAACACATCCTCTAGTGTTGTCAAGGTTCTATCCGACCATTTGAAAGTCCCTGGTATTACCACTGATTCGATAGGCCAGTCACATCGTCTTGGTCAACCTGGCACTGATAAACCCCGGGCTGTGCTTGTAGAATTTGGAGACTATGGGACAAAAGAGAAGATATGGCTTGCAAAGAAAAATTTGAAAGGCACTGGGATTACATTGTCCGAATTTCTTACAAAGGGTCGCCATACTACATTCTAAGCGGCGCGTCAACGTTTCGGAGTTTTAAGGTGCTGGACGAGGGATGGCATCATCTTCGTACTAGGACCTGATCAAGTACGCCATCGTATCCATTCTAGGCTTGATCTTGATGCTATCTCGGCCTCTGAATCGGTGACTCAAGCCACATCTGCTGCAACCTCGGTTCCGAGTGTGGTGAAAGACTCCAGGTCTGCTCAAGTAAGAACCAAGAGAATTGGTAAAAAATGAATCCTTTTTTGGAGCTGGTTAAATCTGTTGTATCTTGTGCGACTACCGTATTTCTGGTTTGTTTACATTCTTTTATTGTAAAATCTTTTTAATTTATTTTATTAATATATATTACCATTTTTCTTTTATATAGACGATGTGAGGTAGTTACTTGTAACTTATATATAAAAAACCATTTCAATGTAAACAAACAATAAGTGAATTGACATGGCATTGGATACCAGTTGCACATTTTTATTTCTTTCATCGGCGTAGGCAAAGGTCTCATAGTCATACAGCCGTACCTTATGGAATTTTTGACTTCTTTTCTTATCACAAAGCAACATTTCTATAACAATTCTCTTTGTGCTCGTTACTTATTTTTATTTGTAAAATGCTATTTGTTTACAGTTTTTGGTAGTTATGTTTTGTTTAAAAATTGTCTCTTTTTTATTTCAGTTTATTCTGAAGCATCTATTATTATTATTATTATTTTTGATTCATCTCTTTCAGACTGCTGGCGGGATAGAGATATGTTTAGGTACTTGCTTATATATTTAATTTAACTATTTAGTTTTATATTTATATATTATATATTTTCATTCTACTATGTTGTTAGATAATTATGATGTAGGTAATGATTCTGACGATTTCCTGTCTTTGTCGTCAAATGATAATGCATCTAGTGAACTCAGCTTCCACAGTACAACATCTTCAATTCCAAAAAATGTAGCACTCAATTCATATTTCTCAGATTCCCTGAAAAACTTTTATGTTATTTATATAAACGCCCAAAGCATTCCGGCTCATTATCCCGACATGCTTGCGTCCTATGAATCCCATAATATTCACGCCATTCTAGTCTCTGAATCTTGGTTAAAACCATGCTTGCCATCCACTTCTTATTCATTACCAGGATTCCATCTTATTCGAAACGACCGTATTGGAAGAGGGGGTGGAGGTGTGGCAATCTGTCTCCGTTCTTATTTACCTTTTGCGGTAGTAAGCTTGTCCCCCCAACCATCTCCTTCTAATGCGGCTGAGCATCTCTTCATTGAAGTAACCATATCCAATGCGAAAATTCTTCTTGGCGTTTGTTACAGTCCTTCTCTTCATATTTACTATTTCTCTTCTTTCGAATATTTATTAGAAAATTTACTCCCATTATATACTCACACTACAATCATGGGTGACTTTAACACATGCCTACTCAAGGATGACTATCGGTGTGAAAAGCTAAAATCATTAACCGAGGCATGTAATCTACATATATTACCACTATCTGCTACGCATAAAATGCCTGACTGTACTCCATCACTACTTGATTTAATCATTGTATCCTCTCCAGATTTTGTTCTGAAGCATAGCCATCATGACGCTGATCTCTTCTCTTA